GAAAAACACTTAACATTTTCAGTTGGTAGGAAATTTTTTATTTTGTCTGGGCAGCGGCAGAAGCCTACTCTCATCGATTTTGGACTTCCAAGGGGTCTTTAATGTTCGCAACTTGCAAATGGGACCTCCGAAATTTTTCGCCCTTGTCCGAGAAGGCTAGGTGTAGATCTTTCCTACTAGAAGATCAGGGGTGTGACTGACAGACAACAGTAAGAAGAAGCCAAGGAGAAGTAGTGGACAGGCTGCAGAAAGAGCCAGGAGCCCAGAGGAGGGTGCAAAGGAGGTAGGGGGGTGGGAGCAGAAAGTGGAGATGAAATCAGACGACATAATATGGCTAGAGATCAGGGAAGGAGGTGAAAGGAGACAATTTTAGAGAAGAAATTTTTTTCCGTCGCTATACCCGGATTCAAACCACCCAGGACCTTTGATTTGAGAGGCGAACCCCTTAACCTCTAGACCACGAGAGCCCCATTAGTTCTTAGAAGATGTAGTCATTCAGGGAAATCAAAAGAGAATAGACGTATCCAAAGTATGGTCGATTTGGAGAACAGTTTATATCACTAGACAATACGTCTTTTTATACTTTCAAGAGATTTGTAAACTAAAGGCGATGGCCTTCAGCGTCACAATCCTAAAGCAGTGTGAATTTCAGGCCTACACCATTATTGGACGAGACATAAAGGAAGTAGATTGGCCAGGTACTACTTCTCTCCCTTCTGATCTTGACTTTTTTGAATGCTCCAAGGGAGAGACATCGTCAGCACGTTTGGAATACCCCCCCACCCCCCCCCCCCCCCCAAAAAAACCCCCCCAATCCACCCCCCCCCCCCCCAACCCCCCCCCCAAAAAACAACAACAAAAAACAAACAACAACAAACACCCCCCAAACAACAACACAAAAACAAACAAACCAACAACAACCAAAATTAACCTGAAAAATAAAATACCGCCCCCCTCCCACAAAAAACCCAAAACAAAAGGCCCCAAATGCCTCAGCAGGATTCTCCCTGAGAGGTGACATGACAAAATGCAGCAGATCTGAACTGAGACACGGCTTCCGGTTTAACGAATAACGTCTCTTGGGTGCCCCTGAGACGCTTGGACGAATGTGAATGAGCACTCTGCATGCTCTTCAAACCTCGATATTTTTCTCCTTCACCCCCTCAAGTTTCTCTCTTCATTGTTGCCCCTTATTCAATTAATCCCTCTTCTCGAACCAATCACGACTACTTTTTACGCACACACGTACTCACACGCACACACTAACCGGCTACAATATTGGGGCTTCAGGCACTCAGTTCGACTTAATCCTGCAATATTTGAGTACATTGGCCAACTTCAAAGAAAACAAATCATCAATTGGGATACATCGATCTCTTCCTTAACTCCGCGACGGGAGAGTGGGCCCCACACGCTCCCATCCTCCGCTCAACCTTGCCGACTCCGGAGGTACGTTTGGTTTATTCGAGTAGAGTATAGAATCGGGTAACTTCGCCACTCTCACTTGGCTCACGACGAAACAAACCTACCCCCTCCCCCCTCTCTGTCTGTCTGTCTGTCTGTCTGTCTGTCTGTCTGTCTGTCTGTCTGTCTGTCTGTGTCTCTTAGTTTAGTTTTAGTAAGAGATTTACGGCACTTGCAACACAATAGGGTAATATAAGTGCCGAAGAATAGATGTGTAACAAGAGAGTAACATGCACAAAAAAGAAGGAAAGGAGATAATGACGACAGATGTTTGATAGAAAAGAAGGAGCAAACCACACCAGAGCACCCGCCAACCACCTACTGTCTCTGTCTCTGTCTCTGTCTGTCTGTCTGTCTGTCTGTCTGTCTGTCTGTCTGTCTGTCTGTCTGTCTGTCTGTCTGTCTGTCTGTCTGTCTGTCTGTCTGTCTGTCTCTTTCTCTCTCTCTCTCTCTCTCTCTCTCTCTCTCTCTCTCTCT